TTTTTTTTTTTTCAGTTTTGTTGTTTTATTTTATTTAATTTTCCCCTCCTCTTCTGGGAGAAATGGGACGTGTCGGGGTTCGATGTCCTTTAGGTTCAGGGGTTAATGGGAAGGCAAATTTAAGGAGGTGGTTATAGGAATCTTCCATTTTTATCATCCCAAAAATAACAAAAAGACAAACAAGGGATGAAGTCTTCACTTTGTGAGCTTCCAATGCTTCCGGTCAACTAAGCACTATCGTTTTTTTGTTTGTTTTTTAGTTGATTTATTGCTGCTTTTTGTATAAATTCAGTTCCTTTTTCATACGATGGAAACAGTTGGGTTTGTCCCCTTTTTTATATTATAGTTATTTTTGTATCTTGTTTTACATTTCTATCATTCTGTTCGTTTTGGGGGGGGCGCGGTTTCAGTTCTTGTGGTGAAGCGTTAACGGAAGACTTCATTCTTTGTTGCTAAACGTCACGCGCAGCGGCCGATAAGCGCCCATCCGAGTCGTCATTCCGGTTTAATGACATTCAAGACCAAGAAGGATCAAAAGAGGTGGATGCCAAATGAACGTTATCTCTTTGGCCTTCTCTAAACGCATCGATCCAGCAGACTCTGGACTACTTCAAGGCCTGAAAAAAAGCCACAAGTTAAAGGTTGTGCCTTCCTTTGGGAATGTCTTGCTCAGTCTCTTCCGTGAAGAGGATGCTCCGGCTCAAGACCGCGGTCCTGTGGTACACACTTGCCCGGAGCTCGGATCTCTGATGCCAAATCCACTGGCTGAACTGAATCATCCTCCTCCAGGGGTTTCTAGTCTGATCTGGATGGAGGCAAAAAAGAAAAAATATGGAAAATATAAAGAAAAAATATTATTGAATAAGTGAAAAAAAGATGTGACAATTCAAACATGAATCAGACAATAAAGCCCAGGTTATTATATGTGAATTAATGAGTTGTGTTTTTATTGTGTGAACAAGTGACTGAATTTGAGAATTCCTTATAAATTAATACTAGGATGCATTAAATTGATCAAAAGTGACCGTGAAGTCATTTATAATGTTACAAAAGATTCCCATTTCAAATAAATTCAAATCAGCATATAAGAATGATACTGAATGGCTACTAAAACTTCAGCTTTGCATCATAGGAATAACACAATCACATTTCACAATATTACAGTTTTTTTTTTTTTTTTTTTTTTT